AGGTTTTGTTTTTTGTTTTCCGTTGCCTACATGATCTTGCAAGTCCTCTTTTCTGCTCCCACTTTCAGTTGATGGCTAATACAGGCCAAGCATCCCGGGATGATCGCCGAATTACTCGAGGACAGGAACAGCGGCTACTGCAAGTGCCTTTCCTTCCTGGACCTTCCGGTCGTCAGTCATTGACATTTGTGGGAAGCACACTTTGGAATGCCCTTCCCAGCGAAATTCGCCTCCAGAGTGCGGCTTTTGCCTTTAAACTGGCTCTGAACAGAATTAATTGTACTTTGTAACCAGTGTTAATCGCGCTCCTTCCTTGCTCGGCATCCCTACACATTACTGCATGTTTTCTCTGTGTGTTCTTCACTGCATGCTTACACATACACACACCCATTTGAATTATACACATACTTTGTGCTTTGGAATTATCATGTTGTGATTCTTTTTAATATTACCTTCTCTCATAATAACTATATTCGTTCTTAGCAGGAACCGGAGGTTTTTCCTCTGGTGAGAAGGCAGAATGGCCTGTGCTCTAAACGAATTACAATAAAAGAAACACACAAAGAAACAAACAAGTCATGGCAGTACATATACTTGAAACATATGAGAAATAGAAGTTCATTTGTGATGGGAAGTTTGACAGCCCCAGGGACCGAGTCAAGCGTTGTCTTTTGCCGTGGCACGAATTGCTGAAGAATCCGAGATGGTCTTGGAATTATGCACATGGATACTACCAGAAATAATGGTGGCATGAACCATTGTGGAATCGGACAGCTCACAGAGAATACTGGAATAGCTCAAGTATCTCTAGGTGATTGTAAATCCTGTTCTGGCTGATAGCTTCGGCCTGCTGCGCCCGTCCATGTACAATGATTGTAACATGCATTTCTGTGTTCTACATATTTTCCGGCTACTGCACTGTGGTATTACAGTTGCAGGTCCCTTATATAGAAATATGTTCAACCCCCCTCCCACATACCCACATTATAAATATGAACTAACAATTTCACTGTTGGACTCGCTGGCGGCTAGAGAGCAAAGGATTAATTTATAGCAAAGAAAAGGACCAGGGAACTACAAGTTATGCTATAATGTCCACAAACAATTTCACTGAATTTGAAATAACAAACATTATACCCTGAGAACTCTGCAACCTTGCATCACTGTGGATTATATGTGCTGGGATACACCATTTATGGAAGGAAAAGTGGAATAATTTCTAACACATTGTTCAAATAATTATAGCACTGAATTGTTGAGATTGTGAGCACATTCCAATCAGCACTCTACATATTTATAAGCGGTGGCAATCGTTAGGAATAGGGCGCGAGTTGTCAGAGTGCTCTAGTAAATGAGAGAATGTTTTGTTTGTCTAATCAATGGTTCGTTCGAAGCCAGAGTTGTTTGAACTTGTTTCAGTCGAAAGGGTTTGCTCTCCACACCGCAGCTCGCGCTATTCCGCCGACTTCACTTGACACTTGACTGACTCACGAATGCCATTCTCATGTGCTCTGGATGGCAGTCGTGAGTCAGTCAAGTGTCAAGTAAAGTCAGCGGAATAGCGCGAGCTCCGGTGTGGGGAGCAAACCCTTTCTTACAAATCATCGCCGAAGTCGCAACCACTACTTCGTATTGTTTCAGTCGACTTGATTCTAGACAGTAGCCGAAGGAGTACTAGTAGTCCGTTAGGTATCTCGTGAGAATTCTGTCCGTACACATCAGGTATCAGCTTGCAAAGGTGGCTCCTCTCTGTTTCTTGAAGACCTGTATAGTTGGACTCTGGCTCCAGCGATTCCCTTCTCAGAGCAGATACCATACCCAATACGGTCAATGCATATTGGACAGACCTGTGTGCACAACAGAAATAGTGGAGAGAAATCTCTCAGCTCATGAGCACATCAGTGAAGTTTGACCTGCCGTTTTTTGTGGCCATCAGTATAAGCCTATCGACTATAAGAATAATGTGCAAAAAAACTCTATAACTACAGCTGGGGCCATGGAATTATAAAGCATCTAACTTAGGGAATCGTGCCAATTCTGGTCTGAGTTGCGTTCGAGGCCTGCAATTCAGGATGGCTATCGTATGTTGCGTTGACCAGAGATCATATAAAACTTCCAAATGCCACATTGAAACACGCACCACTTTCGAGTACTTAGGTATCCCCCACCAAATAGGCATTCGTTCTCGGGGTGGCAGGCGTCACTATTCGTTATGCCTGGATCAGATTTCATTGACCCCAACTGTCATGAAGAATCATTTTTACTTTGACTGGATTTCAGTACAAGTTGTAGAACTGTAGAATCAATTTTGTTGTATTTGGGCAACCATTTCTCTACAAACGCTACTTGGAAAATAGAATTGTTTTATAAAATACTTGTCCAAATTCCACATCTACCCAAATTGGAATACTTTATCACGTATTCAGTACTACACGGAATGTTTAGAAAACGCCAGGGAATAGGAATTTTCTAACGGGAACTCCAGGCCAGGGTACTAGCATACGAACAAAACAAGATAAAATCTCACCAGTATACTTGTAGTAATTCATGTCGGTGTAATATTCACGATAAGCAACTAGGCACCCTCCGATTTGGTGAAGCTGCTTTGAAGTCTGGTTGTTCAGGTGTTAGAAACGGGCTCCCCATTGTTACTTCCAACAGCTTCACTTTCCCTGCGACTGCGGCTATCAGCCTCTCTCTCCATCGTCGACAATTATCACAGATTCAACACTCTACATTTATCAGCACTGCACTGGGTGAATATGTCTCGAGACGAATTTAGCGGATCAACAACGCTTTGCTGGAGATAAATTCTCCTCTGGAGGACTTTCAGGGTACCTGGAAGGGTATAGAAGATGGGATCGCCCACGACGTTGGGAGAACATAGCAAACAACCTCCTCTTCGATTGAAAATTGGCCAAAAAGTGTGTGAAATGTATGTGCGCAGGTGCATTTCCACTGGCAAGCTAATCCCTCATTACGTCATCAGCGCTCGCTCGGCGAAACTCAAAAGTCGTCTTCCTGCTCGACTCGATCGCTTCTGGAGGGAGACTCGTTCTTGTTCGAGGTGTCTTCTCTTTCACCTACCTTCTTTTTGGCATCGTAACTCGGCGTCGAAAATAGAGCCGGAGTGCCCCTTTAACAACGTTGTTGCTTCCAAACCATCTAATTCGGACGCCCGCGCTAGGGACAACACTGTGAAGAAAAGGCTGGTACGACTTCGGCGATACTTCAAGCTCAACTGATGAGGGTTGAATTCCCCGAAAGACTGTGTATTGAGCAGGGAGTGGTGCTTTCTTGCAGGTTTGCCGAGTGGACGGGTCGATTGACTTCTCGTGTGCTTGGGTTGGCAGTCGTGAGTCAGTCAAGTGAGAATTCAAGTCGGCAGGAAAAACGCAAGCTCCCAGGTAGGGAGCAAAACGTATTCCGTGGCTAATTGCTGTTACGTTTTGAATGCACCAGCTCTCATCTAAGTCATGCTGGTACATCAAAAGCGTTGTGTATCCCTTCGTTTTGGTCATTCCTCTTTCTCACTAGCATTTTATTCCATCTTTTGCTATGATCACTGTGGTTGATGTATAAGTGAGAGAAATGATCACCGTTTCCAGGCAAAAACAAGAAAATGCCTAATGGGAGGATGGTAATGGTGAATCTTGTTCCAACATTGCTGAGCTAATTTGACTGTTTACTTGGGGACTGAAAAGATAATAATTATATTATTCATCAGGGTGAAAGAAACTTGTGCAGTGGAATACTTACTTGTATATTTTAGGCAAGAGATTTACATTATAGCTAACAAATGGTTGGTTGGTTTATTTTAATTCGCACAGTAAACGGGAACTATGTGAGGTCCAAATTTGAAATTGCAAGTCATCCACACGGCTGTAGCATTGTTGGTATTACTCTAAGTGCCATTCACACAGCTGTAACATTGTTGCTATTACTCTAAGTGTCATTCACACGGCTGTAGCATTGTTGCTATTACTCTAAGTGCCATTCACACATATCATATTATTACAGGGTGCGACAGAGCTCTCGGCCATTGAAGAAAATGTTGAGTCACCTCCACCATCACACTGCGCTCTTAAGCCGACTAGACCCTCCTGCACACAACCATCACCATTGCGAGGACACTTCCGTAGACGATATTGATAAACTCCTTCAGACAGCTGTTTCGCTAATATATAGCTCATCAGTGAAGGTAGATGTTGAATGATTAAAAATATAGACCAAACTGCTATTATATAGGGGGTTCCACATACAAAACTGGCATAGCTGAGGTGATAACGCGGGAAAAGGAAAGTGTGAAGTACTGTTGACGCGCACTGGACAAGCATGCAGCGTCGGAAATTCGGCGCGGAAAATCAATCACTATTCAATGCAGAAATAGCGTGCCAGAATCAGAGTACTATGTAGCTAGTGAGAGTCTGTGTACTAGTTTTGCAGTGCTTCACACTTTCCTTATTTGCCATTCACACAGCTGTAGCATTGTTGCTATTACTCTAAGTGTCATTCACACAGCTGTAACATTGTTGTCTTACTCTAAGTGTCATTCACACAGCTGTAACATTGTTGCTATTACTCTAAGTGCCATTCACACGGCTGTAACATTGTTGCTATTACTCTAAGTGTCATTCACATAGCTGTAACATTGTTGCTATTACTCTAAGTGTCATTCACACAGCTGTAACATTGTTGCTATTACTCTAAGTGCCATTCACACAGCTGTAACATTGTTGCTATTACTCTAAGTGTCATTCACATAGCTGTAACATTGTTGCTAATACTGTCATAGATATGGAAAACCGGTGGCATGCCTAGCGGCCCCAGGGCGCTGGTCATCAAGCCGTTGGGTAGCAGTACATGCGCTGCTGGTCGCATGGCCGGATCAATGTGCACTGGCGAGGGCGCCGGCCCCAATCAATCGACTGGATTTCCATGTCCACGCAGTAACTAAGCCTGATAATGTGACACAGAGCACCACGCATGATCATAGTAACTAAGAGTTTCATGGCCATACTTCATAGGCAATCATCACACAACTAACAAGACTCTATCTCTTCAGATCAAAGAAGGTTGAGCAGCAGCATTAAAAACGTTTTGAAACAATTCGAAAAATTTAATATAGATGATAGCACAAAACACCATAAAACGTGATAGAAAGAAAACAGCACCTCAGAAATTCTGCACATTCTTCAATGTACAAAAAAAACATAAAAAAACTCCATGGTGTATTGCGACACTTTGCAGCGAGACATTTTGCTGAAATGCAATAGATTTTCAGAGAAAAGAAATGAGCACGCAGCCAACACAATCAACAGAATCATCCTCTGTACAGCGAGAATAGGATTGTAACAATGAGAGTGATCGAAGTACAATGTGGATATACAACTCAGTGCAGGAGTTCATAAGCAAATGCACACATGCACACACACATATACAAACACACACACACACGCGCGCGCGCGCACACACACACACACACATACATACCGCCACATGCATACATAGTCACACACACATACTCATACGCATGCACACACACACAGACACAAACACACACACACACACACACTGACACACACAAACACACACACACATACCCCACATACATACATATTCACACACACACAGACTCATACGCATGCACACACACACACACACAGGCACACACACACATATACACACGCACACACACACACACACTGACACACACATACATACATACACACACACACACACACACACACACTAACAAATGCACACACACACACACACATACACACATATGCAAGCATGCATACAAGCATGCAAGTATGATAAACAGTAATACTTATTGGCAATGCTCATAATGTTCATCAGCTTAATCAGGCATGTTGGAACTGGTCCAGTCGGTCATGACTTGGCTGGATCTACTGTTGGCCTGCACAATACATGTTTCCTACTGGCCAGGTTATGCATACTAGATGTGTCACAAAAAAAAACTGAAATACTATAGGAAAGCCTGAGCAAGCAAAACTGCTAATTCTGGTCCTGTTCATGTTTCACAGCAGTGAGAAACATTAGTGTAGAACAAGAAACAAGATGCTCCGGGACAAAAGTTAGAACATTGTGATGCAGTCTTTTCCCCAGTTACTAACATACACAGTACCACTGGGTGATACAGCAATGCCGTTCGGATGAGAAAGACAACTCCTTGAACCGAAGGTAGCCACGTGAGAGAATGTGTCAGAAGTGAACACCTAACAGGGTATCACAATGGAAACATACACACATACCGGCATACACATACAAACACACACACACACACATATACCGGCATACACACACACATTTACCGGCATACACATACACACACACCGGCATACACAAAACACACACACACACCGTTGGACCATTGGACGCCCATCGCCGGAGGCGATGATAGCGATGCTACAGCAGAAGACATAGCAGCTTGTGCTGGGATTGCACCATTCAACAGCTTGCAAGGCAGAAGGATTGACCGCCACTATTCAGCCTGGTCTACACCACACAGCTGTGAAGTGGCTTTCTCTGGCCAGTGAATCCCTACTTTTTGGTCTTTTTCATTTTTCATTTTTCACACGCACACACACACACACACTCACACACACACACACACACACACACACAAACACACACACACACACACACACAAACACACACACACACCGGCATAAACACAACACACACATACCGGTATACACACATTCACACATTTACAAAATACATGTACTTCGAAGTACACACAAACACACATACACACATACATACACAGTCTTACTTCAGAAGTACACATACATTACGATACAATATAATATGCCTATCCAGAGATGATAGAAGGTCCCCAAGGTACCAACAGTGTTCAAGTCACGAGCAGAACCGGGTGTGGTACACAGGAACGCCAACGCGCGCCACCCCCCCCCCCCACACACATACATACATACATACATACATAAAAACACACACCATGCACTCACTTGAACTCATTCCCCCTCATGCCGTATTTTCCGGAGTATAGGTCACACTGGAGTATAAGCCGCAACCCAATTGCTTTCCACAAAATGCAGACATCAACCCTAGTAATTTATTACTGATCATCGGAGTAGGCCTCGACCAATTATGCTAAAAAAAGACGAATATGCTCGTAATTTATTACTGATCATCGGAGTAGGCCTCGACCAATTATGCTAAAAAAAGACGAATATGCTCGTCGCATATCAGGGAAAACGGCCACAATATTTATTTTATTTATTTATTTATTCAACATCTTATGGCTTCCGATGGCAGCCAAAACGGGAAGATTTGAGTGATAGCCAACCATGGTAAAAGAAGGAGAAGATTATATACATGAAAAGGAAACAGCCGAAAAGCTATATTGATTAGTTTTTGCTTGCAAGTATTATTAGTATGGAGCACTCAGTCATCAGCAGGCCCTCAGATTCACTTTAAATTCTTTCAATGATGCAGAAGTCTTCACTGAGTCGGGAAGTTGTAGCCATGCACAGTAGCCCTGGAAGAACGGCGATCTTGTGAATTGCGTTGACTTGGCCTTGGGAAGAGACACTTTGTTTCTGGTTGAGCGACCCGAAACAAACCTGTTATAAGGCTTTATATGTTCAGGAACACAACCCAAGAGCATTCGATGAACCAATATACAGAGGCAAGTTAGTCGGCTTTGCTCTAACGGAGTACGTCTGAGCTAACAAGTACAACTCATTGGAGGGAAAGGAAGGTTTCTTCGAGAACAAAATTTTTTGAACTTTCTTATGATGAACTTCAATGGAATCGGATAAGACTTTAGCTAGGCCACACAAGGCTATGGCAGCATATTAAAACAATGGAAGGAGTACAAATTTATATGTAGCGGAACGGCACGGAATAGAGAGATGTTTACAATGACTTTTAATATAGCCAAGAGCACGGCTGACTTTATTACAAATGTAATCTACATGAGCCGACCAGGACATGGATGAATTGAACATTACCCCAAGGTGTTTGTGCTCCTTTACCGTCTGAATTTCTGTGGGTGAATTGGGAAAGGTGAACTTAAACATTGACGCAGAATCTGTTAGAAACAGTACTCTGGTTTTTGAAACGTTTGCCTGAAGCCTCCAACTCGACATCCAGGTGACAATCATATTTATCGCGTCTTGCAACTCTGACTCAAGCTGTTTGACAGGTTTACAGTGGCGCAAAGCAGCTGTATCGTCAGCAAACAATGACATTCCAGAAACATGACTTGGTGGATCATTAACATACAAAACAAAAAGCAATGGTCCAAGAATTGAGCCCTGAGGCACCCCCAACAGCACGGGTAGCTTTGGAGTGTCTGCTCCCGACACGGACACAAACTGGCTTCTCCCAGAAAAATAGCTCTCTATCCACTTCAACGGTGTGTCAGAGATGTTAAATATGACTAGAAGCTTCCTCAAGAAACCACTATGCCACACTGTGTCAAACGCCTTGGCAAGATCGAAGAAGCAAATGCCCGTGTACAACTTTTCTGCTCTCGCTCCGATAATGTCCTGTACAAGGCCAGTCAGCTGCATTGCAGTTGAATCTCCACAACGAAAGCCAGACTGAGCAGAGTGAATGGCAGGTGCAACATGGGTATACAACTGATCATAAAATATTCGTTCACATGATTTTGAAATGCATGATAAGAGAGAGATTGGCCTGTAATTTCCAGGAGTAGCTTTACTACCTTTGCCCTTAAATATCGGCGTTATTTTGGCCACTTTCCATGCCGATGGAAACTTCCCTTTTCTGAAAGCAAATTAAAATAGAAGACATAAAGGATATGATAATGATGGTGCTAGAGCCTTAACAACTTCATTGGAGATGCCGTTCATACCAGGCGATTTGTTAAGCTTAAGCTTCGCAATAGCTTTGCGCACTCCAGTTGTGGTTATTATCGGAGCACGAAACGCATTCGGGAGGCAAGGGTGTTGGTCTAAGGACGGCAATGGTATGCGTGGGTCGTCAACAACCGCCACTGATGCAAATTGCTCGTTCAAAGCTGCAGCTTTAGCTGCAGGGTCTGCTGCCAACTTTCCATTTGATGCGAGGTCAGGTATTCCAGGGCTATTTTCCGAAGATATCTGCATGCGAATGAATTGATGCAATGAAGGGTGATTACTGGTATCGGAAATCAGGACCTGCAGCTTTCGGATATACTCCCGGTGACATTTCCGGGACAGCGACCTCACAATATTTCATTGCTTTTTATACAGATATATGTTGACAGGACTTGGGTACTTCCTACTTCGACTGTGAAGTTCCGCCTTGTGACGGATAGCACCTTTCAATTCCGCATTAATCCAGGGCGGAAGTTGTTTCGACAGGCGTGATCTCCCTGTATCCCTGATGGAGCAACGCTCATAGTGCTGGACACTAATGTGCTGCGTAAAGATGCGGTCTAGAACAGTCTGAATATTTGCAAGCGATTCGTCCACATCTGACGTAACAACCGTATGCCAGGCAACTGCCGCTAGATCATCATTAATACCCGCCCACATGGTAGGTGTCACTCTCTTAAAATTGTACTAACGGGCAGAAGTTGACTGCACAAAAACCCTGGATGAAGCACAAGAGGGAAGTGGGTCCATGGGGATATCAAACTGGCATGAAACGAGGAGGTGTTTCGATGCACCCAGAGCACAGGCTGTGTCTATGGACGACACTAGTTGGCTATGATTGCTGAAGATGAGGTCCAAGCATGCCTGGTTGCCTGAAAGTGCCGTGTGCGTGTTTGTGGCGACCAGCTGTTGAAGACCAAAGCAGCCAAACTCTCGTTGTATTGCAGCACCAGCAGGGCATGTATGGTCTGTTGAGCACCAGAGGCTGTTTTTTCCATTCAAATCTCCAGCAATGATGACGCGAAAGGACGATACAGGAATCATCCTGAGAGAATCACCAATCATGTCGCAGTAGCGAGTTATGTCCAAGCTCCTGGTTAAAGGCGGGGGGGGGGGGGGGTTATGTACATGGCGTAGGCATACCGGAGAGCGAAGCACTAGGTTTGCAAGTGAGTTTGCGAAGCTCATTCTTGAAAACAATAATGGATGGTTCTGCAGTTAGTCTTGGTGGGAGGCAGTTCCATAAGAGGGAGGTTTGGAAGAGAAACAACGATTTTGATGTGGTCTTTGCTGTAGGGAGAATAATTTTGTTAGGGCGTCTCGCACTCTGCGTGATATTGAAATGGAATGAAGCTAGGCAACGTCGTTACTTGAAAATAAATTTGTGCATGGTAACTAAGCTTAAAAACTGCCTGTAGTAAAGGAGTGATTCAATGTTAGCTTTTTTATTCCCGTAGCTATGTAGAAGACGTTACTTCAGGAACGTCTGGCGCTAGCCAGGGTCCACACAGCTTTAATTTAGTGTTTGTTTGTTTGAGTGTTTGTGTGTTTGTGTCCCGCCTGGCGCTATCCCGTATCTGTCCCGTACCGTACCGTACCATCAAACACAGCTGGCCACATACAGCTGGCCGCAATATTCAAATAGGGCTTCCAAACGCAAGATCATAACGTGAAGCAACTTGGAAGAATGAGTATGAATGCGAAGTGTATGGGGGAATGCATGTCGGGCGATAGTGCGGGTTCGAAAAACCTGCAAGACCTGCAAGAAAGCACCACTCCACTTGCCGAGTCGAAGGTTCGATGGACTTCTCGTGTGCTCTGGATGGCCGTCGTGAGTCAGTCAAGTGTCAAGTAAAGTCGGCGGAATAGCGTGACCTCCGGTGTGGGGAGCAAACCATTTCTTACAAATCATCGCCGAAGTCGCAACCACTACTTCGTACTGCTGTGCCCAGCGCGGGCTTGCGACTAGTTGGTTTGGAGGTGACAGCGTTGCGAATGACCGAGGGTCCTCGACGTCTGTCTCACCGTCCAGGAGCGCCACTGACTCACGCTGCTATCTGGTGTTCACGAGGTGTTTGTCGCGCTGGAAACGGAGCGTCTCTGTAAGTTTGTATCCCTGGTGATGTTTGTGCCTGGAGAGCACTATATAGAGGATCCGTGAAATAAAAATCAATCAATCAATCAAATATAAGTGGTGCTCTTCAGGCACAATCTTCCTCAGCCTACTCAAGCTCAACTGATGAGGGGTGAATTCTCCGAAACACTGTGTATTGAGCAGGGAGTGGTGCTTTCTTGCAGGTTTGCCGAGTCGAAGGTTCGATGGACTTCTCGTGTGCTCTGGATGGCAGTCGTGAGTCAGTCAA